CGGTTTGAACCCTGTGCTTGAAGTTTGGGAATTGTTTTGTAATTTTTTTTTTTACAAAAACCTTTGAGCATCAGACACAATCACACCCAGGATGTGGGGTGGTCACATGGCAGTAGCGTTGCGTACCGCTTGTTGCAGAGGTTCACGGTTCGAACCCAGCAGGCCGCCCGGGGTTATCATTGCGGGTGTATTACCCATAAAATATGCGCCTTCTGCTTCGCGGCAGATGTTAAAGATTCCCATGACGACATTTTGAAGTGAGATTGCTCCTGCGTGCCAGTGTCATGGTCCACGTTTGGGAAATTAGCTGCAAACAACTCAATTGGGATTACACAGCAACATCGCCTTCTACTGTCAAATTGGAGTGAAACACACCTCCTTCGTGATTGCCTTCCGCTAAAGAATGGAGCAAATACCAACTACTACGTTATTATATTGATGAATACCTCCGACCTTCTCAATTCTTGATGTGTAGAGTTTTCGAGGGATAAGATTCATATTATCAAATCTTCACTAGTCAAGTATGTTGTTAATATTAATCTAGCTGTGACTGGTGTATTAATATAATTCTTTAAAAATAAATGATAACGGAGGCTGCCACGGGATAGGCGATCTTGCTGTGTAATCCCAATTGAGTTGTTTGCAGCTATTTCCCAAACTTGGACCATGACACTGGCACACAGAAGCAATCTCACTTCATCATGTCGTGAAGGGAATCTTTAACATCTGTCGTGAAGCAGAAGGCGCAGTTGTATCAATCGGCAGATCGCGAGCATGTGGTGGGGTGAAGTGTGGGTATTCCCACCTATGCAGGACATCTTGCCCGAGTGGAAGAATAGGCCAAATACCATTGAGGATATCCCTCCACTTGAGATCGTTCTGTCAGCAGTGGCATGAGCAAGTCAATGCAGGGCTGCAACTTTTATTTTTTAAAGGATGATAGCATTTTGGACATCCCGTAATATTGTATATCACGCGCACTGCAATGCCCTCCCGGATGCATTGGCCGTGAAATGGAGTGTTTGGATTACTAAGTGCTATCGACGCACGTGATGCCACTCTAAAGGCTAATGAGTCAGTGCGCGGGCGCGCTCGCTATCGATCTCTATCAGAAACGCAGGAGTGTCTCCGTTGCTCGTGCGTTAACTTTGCGCATCGTGTGTGTGCCGATCCAGCTTGTCGGTGGTCAGCATGACCCAACCGGTGCCAGCTTGGGTTCTAACGGCGCTTGCCACGTTCTGCCCATGACCAAAAACCTCCCGGGATGCCACCAATCTTGTCGGATTTCTTTAGAAGCTAAGCAGATTTTAAGCCTGGATGTGTGCACGGATGGACAACCACCATGCATTGACATAGTTTATTTGGGCTGCTGCGGTGCTACGTTGTCAGTAGGGGTCAATGCATTCCACTTGTACTGTACTATGCACCCAAGGGCTATGCTTTACGCTTTCAGCCTGTGCTGACCAGTACGTTTAAGTATGGTCAAATAACCCCCGCAACCCACACGGCGTGGGGAAGCCCTCCTCCAGCAGTGGTTTGACAGAAGGGCTGTGAGTGTGCATGTTCTGTGTTCTCTAAGTGCAACGTACAAACATCGACTTGTGGGAGATTTGCCACCTCTGGTTTCCCGTTAAAGGTGAACGAGTCGCATGGGTAGGGTTCTGCAAGGAAAGGATGCGGAAGATGCAGCATTGCAGTACGACCTGGATGAATGTGTTATCCTAATGGTGCTAATCGAGCACGTCGTGAATCAAAGGCTTCCAGTCGGGCCATGTCATAGAACGGCCCACAGAAGAGGATACCACGGAGTGACCTCTCTGGAATTTCTTACACATACACGGAATATTATATATCGTTAACTATTCAGCAATATTGCTCACGAGAAAAGTATGAAACAGGTGTACTTGTTTTCCTACAGCCATGGTAGGTGGATATTTGGACACATCGGAGCTCTCTGTTGGAGAAATGCATCCTCGTGATGGGCATACAGAGCAGGGTAGGTATTAAGCCTTTAATCCAAATCAACTGTAGCTTTGGGGGCTTTGATCAGCCGCTCCGTCCCAGAGAGCAGAAAAAAATATATTCGTTTTGCCAGCGCCCCGAAACTTTCCGTGCGATTAAAAAAAAAACGCCGCTTTGATGTTAAAATTTACACGCAATGCATTGCGTTCGTCATTCAGAGGCCAGTTTGACAGTTCATGCCACGCCATTGAGATTCGTAAAAGTGTGTTGTTTTGTTGTTAAGTGAACCGTTGGATTTCGGGTTTCGCAGTGCTAGAGTAGCCGCTGTTAAACGCTTAGCCCGAGCGCGGTGTAATTTGGTACGACTCTAGAAAGGCTGCAAGCGTGAACAACAGAGCGGAGGCAGGCACCGTGCAGCATTAAACACAAACGATCGGCAGTGGTCTAATAACCACCACAGGCTGTTTGTTGCTGCGCGCAGTTACCACACCCCCCGCTATAACCACGGAGGGCAGTTGACGTGCGTGTTTACCGTCGCCTGTGTGAATGGTACCCAGTTGCCCAAACATCTGATGGCACGCTGTGAATACATACGTGGTTTAAGTCGGTGTCAAACCGAGTGTGTGTGGGGTGACGGTAACGGGGAGCTCTCGTGGAGTGAATGGTGAGCGCGCTGTGCTTACCAACCCCCGGCGGTCACAGCCAACAACAGTCGTGATTATCTGAACCAGCCCGACGCCTCCCCTAGGGTTGATTTAGCCTTAACATGAGCAGCTGGTGCAGTGAGCAAACATTAGCAACTGGGGAGACAAAAGTGGTCAGCCTTGAGGATCTCCCGCCACTTGAGATCTTTCTGCAAAGCAGTGGCAGGAGCAAGTCATTGCAGGGCTGCAACTTTTTTTTAAAGGATGATAGCTTTTTGTACATCCCGTAATATTTTATATCACTCGCACTGCCATGCCCTCCCAGATGCGTTGGCCGTGAAATGCGGTGTTTGGATTACCAAGTGCTATCGACGCACATAATGACACAAAAGGGTAACGAGTCGGTGCTGCGCAGGCCTTAATCGTTGCTCGTTGACAGCACTTGTCCCAACAGCCATTATAGGCTAGACTGGGCTCTTCGTCTTTGTTGTGGGCAGCAGTGACGCAGCAGTTAATACACTTCTGTAATCCGGGTGAACTGCATTCAGTTCCTGGCAATGCGCAAAGTCCGTGAGAAATGGGCCTCTCGTAGGTTGACGCGGCCTCAAATGAGCAGCTGGTGTGGTGTTGAAAACATCGCACACTGGGGAGATAAAAATGGTCGGCTGCGGGTTTTCGGCCACAACGGCTTTTTGTGTGCACTGCATATCCTTACGAGGCGCTCGCGAGCATCACTTTCCCCCGTAGTCTATAAGGATATATAGGTGTGTTTAATATAACAGTATATTGTTTATTTTCAGCTTTAAGACCTCGTGAATAAACGTGACGTTCGAATTTCTCATCGCTGTTGTATGCGCCCGTTGAAATGCAAAAATGTTTTTTTTCTAAATGCGATAAAGCTTCAAATTTTGACGTTTATGTGTGTGTTTAACGAACAGTGTTCCACTGTGTGCTAGCTGTTGGGCGCACTGAGCTGCCACTTACAAAATAATTGTATTTTTGGTTTGGTGTTTTTCTAACACGTTTAATTTTAAACGTGCGAGCTCGTGTTCTTCACAAGCATGAAAGGCTTTTGTGCCGAACGAAAGATTAAACACTCCGCCCGTCTTGGTGCATAATTTATTAGCAAGCGCGAGACCCACACGGGGTCTGTTTATTTTTTCCAACTTGATTTTGTTGTTATAATTTATACTTTTATTATTACAAAATCAAAACGTGAATGCCTGCACGCTCGATTGTTCAACTGCATCAATACCATAGCCCTTGCATATCTTTTGGCTCTGTTGTGGATTTATAGTTGCGTGCAACTATAAATGAAGAGGAGGTAGGAGGAGAATCAAAATGCCAGCTTTGTCAAAAATCATTCCTTTATTTAAACACAGAGGGAGAGAGCTGTTCATGAATTAATGGCTGCAATGCGATCGCCAGGCCACCGAGTCGCAGTCCAAGCTTTTATCAACCTCTGTTTTTCCCCATGCAGTCAATCCTCCAAGTAACTGTACTCTGCTAACCAGACTCAACCCCACTTGGCTCCTACGGTCAGGATTGGACACGTCGGGGAGATTTTGTTCTGATGTTTGACCGACTGTAAGAAGGTATTCCGAGTCGACCCCCGACTTAGATTCGAACTCGTGACCTTCCGACAGTGATGCTTTGTCCTCTAACCACGGTGGCAATTAGCTCGGCAGAAAAATCCATGTGTTATAATCCAAACAAAACACAAGGGGCACTCGTTAAAGCTGATGAAACAAATACCCATATTTACCCGATGCATAATCCTTTCCAGATCAACGTACCTGCCCTAGTGACATATTTGTTTCGTTTATTTTCTATATTGTACTCCAATCGCGATTTCCTTTATCGGCATCATGTCGTGAGATGGAAGAATCCATTCAGATCTTTCGCAGAGCAGTGCAGCCCTTAGTGTTGGAGAACGGCCCACGGAAGTGGATGACGTGGAACTTCTTCTGAGATCTAGTAAAGTAACCTCTGATCGACACGGGGCAGCAATTTTCCACCCACACTGACACTGGGGCTAAATATCGTCATTTGGCAGGAAAACCATTCCCATTTCTGGAATTTAGCCAAATTAAGTGGACAGCCATATTTTATTTGATGGGTTTTTTTGAGTGCAGGTGCAGTCTGTTGGATTTATTTCTATAAAATGTAATTGGTTCCACCATGTGTATTTCATCTCCTCTGTTTCTCACCTCCACCACTGCCTGCACCACCACCACCACTCCCATCCTATCCTCGCCCTCCATCACCACCACCACGACCACAACATATCACCACGACCACAACAAACCACCACCATCCCCAACCTACCGTCACCGTGACCTCTGCGCTTCCCTTCGCCGATCATCATCTCCCCGCCGTTGCCGCACCGCTCAGGCACCATGCGCCCGATCCGCAAGCGCTACTTCCCGGTGGACTCGGCGCCAGGCCGCGGCATCGTGTGGAAGTGGGAGCAGGACGGCGGCGCGTGGACGTGCTACGAGGCGGACCTGTGCGCCGCGCTGCAGGACGCCTACGAGCGCCGGCGGCCGGGCCTCGACCTGACTGCGCTCTCGGGCCTCCCCTACTACGTCGACTTCTCCAACATGTGCCAGATCAACCCGCGCACGAACTTCCGCCGTCGCATTCTCGTCACGTACGAGGCGCCGTACCCGCCCGCTTCAAGCCCGCCGCCGCCTCTTCCAATGCATCCGCACCCCCACTACCACCACCAGCCGCAGCACCACCAGCCGCAGCACCACCAGCACCAGCAGCAACATCACCAGCAGCAGCAGCATCAGCAGGCAGGCGGTGCTGCGTTGGGACACATGCAGTTCGTGGCGCAGTCGCTGCAGCCCGGACCGGGTGCGGGTCAGGGAAATGGTTCGTCGCACAGCAGCGGACCGCTGATGACGGCCTCCTCCTCTACCTCGCCGGTGCCGACGCAGGCGGCGGCGGCGGCGTCGTCGTCGTCATTGTCGTCGTCGCCGGGCAGTCCCGTGCCGCACGCGCAGTCGACCCAGGCGTGGCCACTGTCGTGCGGCTGCCAGCAGTGCCAGGGCCGCCCTCCGACGCAGAAGCGCAAGGCGAGCCAGTCCGGCATGCCGGTGCCGGCGGCGGCCGCGCGCCCGGGGCCCCCGCCACTGTCGCCGACGTCGTCCGCCGCCGGTGTCGGGGTACCGATGCCTCCGGGCCTGGGGCCGGTCGTAGCCATCAGCAGGATGGGGCCAGCGGCCAGGGGTGGCCCAATGAGGCTCGCTGCTGCGCTGCCACCACCAGGGTGAGGGTTTGTACGCTTCACGGGGAATGTTGGTGTCGCCGTGGTCATTATCATCATAACTCTTAAAAGTGTGTGTGTGTTTCTATAAAAAGACAAAGATCCCCCGTATAGCCTTAACAGACTATTGGGGCAAGTGCTGTTAGCGAGCACCTACGAAGGCCGACACGGCACACAAGGGGGTGGGTGGTCAGCACCACGCCCGGCCGCCTTAGTCTCCCCAGTGGCGATGTATACACACCACACCAGGTACTCATTTCAGGCTGAGTCGACCTAGGGGAGGCACAGGACCGGTTCAGATAATCGTCACTGATGTTGGCCGTGAGCAGGAATCCAACTTGGTTCGTTGCGTTGCGCGTTACATTATTGCTTTTGTACACATCATGTAAACGTATAAATACAAAGTAATATTTTTGTCCATCCGCCTCAAACCTGTTAAGCAGCAAACCCGGCACTTTTTAGATGAGACTTGGCAGGATGAAGCCTCTAGGACAAATGGTGCTGGATCGCTTTATTGCTATTGGGCAAGAAACGTTGAAAGACACCTTGGTGTCTGTTCAGCACAGCAAACATTGTACTCTGTTCATTGTATGCTGCTGTAGTGGATTGTGGTTAGTATTAATATTATACAGACGAGGGTCTGCTTCGCTTGCTTTGTAACGGTGCCATAAACAACTGTTTCAAAGCATGACATGATGATACATATTCAGCATGCTGTCAGGCCTTGAGCAGAATGCAAATTTTTCTCGCTGACAACATCAGTCTCGCCACTTCCCACAAATCTCAAGCAGAAAAGCTAATTATTCTGTCAGCTCAGTATTTTTCCTGTCATCTGTTTATTGCTCCTGGGCTGCGAAAGACTGCAGCAAAAGTCGCTTCCTTCACTTCACAGTTTGCACACGTGTGCTGCTTTTTCCCCAACGTACGAACTGCCGTAACGGTTCTCCCAACTACCGATTACCAGCGAACGTGCCCGAGTTCTGGGATGCAGCAGGGTTCGGCCCTGCGTTGCGTTTTGCACAGGGGAGGTCACCCTGCGCGAAACTGCTGTCGACGTAGGGCTTGCGGGGATAATGCGGTGGGCCAGAGGGGCAGTGCGGCTCAATCCGTTCTCATGCTTGACGCCTGTGCTTCCACGGCTGATGTCCCAGTCTCTGCCGACCCTGCACTGACCAGCGGGGCAAAGTATGCTCGAATACATCCCTTCTCTTGTAATTTGGAGAAACGTGTTGACTCTTATCTCTTACACCTTCAAGGGTGTGGGCTGTTGCTGGCCGCTTGGCGTTTTTGGGCTGTGCTCAGTGACCGTGACACTGGGAAGAGGTACGGAAAAGCCCTCATCCCGTCGTGGATGTACTTGTCTTGATTTTATGTCTTACAGTTGACCTTTTCTTTCTTTCTTTAAGGATGCCTTCACTTCCAGGAAATGCAATGAACCTTCCAATATCTCTGCAGTCTGCATTTGCAGGTAGGCCTAGTGTTGTGATAGAAAAAGACACATTTATAATGGATACATAACTTATTTTCAACACGTAATGGCTTTGGAATGCCTTTGAACAGATCAGAAGATGTATTACGCGTCGATCTTGTGATTCCGTTGCCGTCTGCTGCCTTCGGTTTTATGTCTAATGGAAACTTGGCACGCGCGCTAAGCCAAGTCACGCAACGGTCACTTCTTGAAAGAGAATCTTTCCCTCTGCTGTTGCAACCGCTGCTGCTGAATCGTAATATTAATCTGACCTCCATAACTCAATACCCTCGCCCCGTCGAGTTTAGATTGCTTACGAACAACACGGAGGGTAGCACACTGGGGGAGTAGAGCGTGCGACGAGGGCGGGCGACGAGGGCCGATGACGTGGGGGGGGGGGGGCGGTTGGGGGAGCGGGGGGGGTGGAGGGTTGGCCAGGCACCAGGCTACGAAATGCAGGGAAATCGAGTAGGAAAGGGGGGGTCCCATTTGAACCCAGGGCCCATTCCAGCCATGCTACACCACCACGATCTTGGAGCGGAAGATGGCAGCCTTCACGCGGGCCACTCTGTTAAGTGTGAAATCGCGATGAAAGCCATCAACGCATTGATCACCACCATCTTGAGACGCAATAAGATTTAGACGCTTTATAGATTAATAGGATGTTGCAGCCGTAGCATAACGGTGAGCAGCACACCGTACTTGCAATTCAGAGATCTCCCAGCGTGGCAATTTAATCCATGGGCGAGTTTCTTCAGTTTCGTTCTCCCTCAGCCTCCATCGCCACAGCTAGTTTGAACGATAGATCGCGTGTGATGGGGTAAAGTGTCTGCCAGCGTCAGAGGTGACAAATATCCTCTAGAGCAACTGTGTAGCTCATTCTTGTGGAGGCCCTTCCATCAGCAGTGATGTCAGCAAAGAGTTGCAGCACAGCATCTTTTTTTCCCTTTCTGCTCACAACACAGAAAAATTCCCACATTACTTAGCCATCCTCTGTCACGTTCTAACTCGTGTTCCTCGCTGCGTTCTAATCCTGCCTCTCACCCTCTCCTTGTCTTGCCCTGCCCTTCTCTGCCTGCCACTTCATGCCCTCGATCTTCTCCTTCTCTACCCTGTTGTTGTTGTTGTTGCTCTCTCTGACCCCATACTACTCTTCTGCCATCGTTGGCCCGTGGCTGTCGGTCCCAGCCGGCGGGGGGCTGCTCCCCATGACTCGCGCCCTCCCTAAGCATCTCTTCCATCCTCCAGCCGTGAGCAAGGACGAGCTGCGACCCGTGCCCGGCGTCTCCGGCACCTGCCGCAAGATCAAGAAGTCCAAGGGCAAGAAAGGTGACGACGTCGCTCGCTCGGCCGTTCCCCACCCCCATGCCACGCCATCGGCAGTGTCCTTTTTGAGTTGACCGAACGAGGCTCGTCTGGCAAAGCCAGCAGCAGCAATCATGTGAAAGACTCACCCAGCAGGAGGAGATTCCCGAAATTCAAAACAGGTTGAGAGAGTTTGTTTAAACAGTTGCCTCGTGCATTAATATTGTTTTTTGTGAAGCCAGGAGGATTTTGGAATAAACATGTTTAATTTGTGGGGAGGTGAAATGAGCTGCGTTGTGTTTTTTTTTTACTGAAGGATTGGTAAAGATTAACATTTTGGAAACCCCGCGGAAGCGTGTGATTTAGCCCATTTCCCTTCCATCCGTCGGGAGAGAGTTGTTTAAAGTGTTAATTCTCGCCCAAGCATTGCGTTGAAGTGTTGTTATGAAGCTTCACTCCGAGCAGCATGTGCTTTGTATGCTCAAGATGATTGTAAAAATGTTGTGATCTCTTAGATGACTTCTCTCCTTTCTCTTCTTTTTATTTTGCCTATCATGGGTTGGTTCAGTTCCGGATGGGGTGGGAGTTGGGGTTTCCAAAATGGGCATGTGGCTTAGGACCGCTCAAACCACGGCTGCCATCGTCGTTTACGAGCTCAGTTCATGAGTCACATCACTGAGACATTAATTGAATTTTCATTCTTGCCTGTCCTTTTGAAGAAACAATCGCCCACGTCCGTATTGGCGGTTGTGCGTGCATCATAGAAATAGCAATATTTAACTGATATAGCTGTTTGTTTGATAATAGGAAAGAAATCACCTGAAGATGTGGTGAAGAAATACCTGCAAATGATGAAAAACCCACCGGACGAGGTGAGCTGACTGTGGCGAACACCATATTTTCCCCGTCTGTAAATATCCCTTTGCATATAGTAATAATACTGGTATTTGGAACAGAACTTTCCCGAGGGGACGTTCACCAGAGAGATGGAGCGACGTCATTCAGTTAACGTGAAAGTTCTTACATGGGTTATTACCGCTGCAGGATTGAGAGGCGGCGGCTGCTTTGCAAGGCCTTCGTCCTAAACAAACTAAACTCGAACAATTTTTATTTTACCCGTTAAGGCCCACTGCGCTATATAGCTCTTTTTCAGAAGCGACCTGCGCCACATGATAGCTCAACGAAGTGACTTGGCACGTGGAAATTTCTAGCAGCCAAATACTCTAAATATGTGATGTTGATTCTAAATGTGTGGGTGGGGGGGGGGGAACCTGGAGGATCCAGAGAAAAATCCACACGACCATGGAGAGGGCACGCAAACTCCAAATATGCATTCGTCAAGGTCGAGATCGAACCCACAACCTTCTGTTAACACGTCGACACCGTGAAGAAACCGCATCTGATGATGATGATGATAATGATTACTCTTATTCACATTCATTCTTTACTAATTGAAAACCTGACCCGATCATGGGCTTCCCTTCGGTTGGCTCGGCCTCAAAAGGTCAAGCGAGCAAGTTTGAAGCTTTGCCGTGTAAACTCTCGCTCCGCTCCCGCCCCCCCCCCCCCCCCCGTGTCCCCCTTGCGCCAGGACTGCACCATCTGCATGGAGCGCCTCGCCGTGCCATCAGGCTACGAGGGCATGACGGGCTGTACGGGCGTGCGGGCCGACGGACTGGGCCAGCTGGGCCGCTGTGGCCACGCGTTCCACCTCCTCTGCCTCGTCGCCATGTACAGCAACGGCAATAAGGTGCGGGAGACACATCCTTGTCTGCTGTGCCGACGGAGGGGGACGGCACGATGGCCATGATTTTGTAATGGGCGGGGGACGGTGTCATGTGATGATGTGATGTTTGTTGTTGGCAATGGCCGGGAAACAAAACTCAGTCTGCCCGGGTGAAAGACGGGAATGACAACGGCAGATTTTATTTGAAAGGACGCTCGCGATCTCACGGGGGGACAAGGACGTGGGAGCCCGTGAAAGTATGGAAACGGTGGTGACCTGAGTTCGACTCCGGGCCACGTCCCAACTGCAGTGGCAAGTGATGCCTGAATCGTTTCGAGGTGTCCTCTATGTCGGCCTCGGCTTTAAGCGGGTGCCTGGTGGGGCGTTTAAACAATCTATACCGGGGAGACAAAGCGGTCGGGCATTGTGCCGGCCTCGGTAGGTGCTTATTCAACAGCACTTGGCCAAATAGTCTGCGTAGGCCTACATGGGAGATCTTTTATCTTTGTTAATTCCTCTCCAGGATGGGAGTCTGCAGTGCCCGACGTGCAAGACGATCTACGGGGAGAAGACGGGAACTCAGCCGCCCGGCAAGATGGAGTTCCACGTTATTCCGTTCTCACTGCCCGGCCAGCCCGACTGCCACGCCATCCGCATCATTTACGACATCCCGTCCAGCACCCAGGTGCTCACAAGTCCCCCTTCTGGCCTGTGACCCCCCCCCCCCTTTGATGGAAGATGCACTGCAGCAGCGTTACAAGATGCACTATAATCAAGTTACGTTAATCTGTCAGTAGACCGTCATGAAATTTGTAAAATGCAATATTTGTTGGTTAGGAACAACTTCATACGAGCTTAAAACCTCTGATCACCGTGAGTTATTGGGCCAAAGTATTTTTACAACACAATGCGGCAGTTGAATTATACTTCCATGAATATATTTTTTCAAACAAGTTAGGCAAGATATTGCGTACGCATTGGACAATACATCTACTCAACAGTGCAGCAGCTGCCGGGTAGCTGTCGGTGCAAAAATGTGTTTGCATATTTGCAAATCGTCCCTTTAGCTTTGGCGTGATAAATTTGGCTGGTTTTCAAGAGTACCAGTCCCCCCCCCACCCCCCTCGACCCCAAAAGCAATGCAACTTTGTACTAAAAACTTTACGCGGAGGGGAAGTATTAACCTCCCCGCACCCCCCTTGCCGTTTCGTGTTTTGTGACATTGCTCTAACTTGCACCCTCCCCCTCCCCTACCCTGTACCCCCTTACGCCAACAGGGGCCAGAGCATCCAAACCCGGGCAAGAAATTCACGGCCCGCGGCTTCCCCCGCCACTGCTACCTGCCGGACAGCGAGGAGGGACGCAAGGTAAAGGGGAGGGTGGCTGCTGCTGCTGCTGCGATCGCCCACAAATCTGCCAATCGACTGCGGTGCGGCCGTTCGTACCGCTGGGTCAACAGCGCGACGCCGGCGGCAATTAAGGAAACTTGCAGCATCGTTTCGAAGGCCCTGGCAGCACGGTAGCCACCGCCGCAGAGAGAGGAGAGGGAGTGGCTGGGTCGTGAGAGTTCTCGAGGAAGTTATCGATTCAATGGGAAGTTTCAGAGTGAAAGTAAACACGTTATCGATTGTTCCAAATATTGAGTACTATATTTAATTCCGTTCAATTGCGTTACCCAGGTCTTCTCTTACCGTTTGCATAGTTAAAATATTGGCGATCCGGTGTGGCTGCTGCTACTGCTAATGCCGCTGCCTCCCCCCCCCCCCCCCCCCCAGGTGCTGAAGCTGCTGATTGTGGCGTGGGAGCGGCGGCTCATCTTCACGGTGGGCACGTCGAGCACCACTGGCGAGTCGGACACCGTCGTGTGGAACGAGATCCATCACAAGACGGAGTTCGGCTCCAACGTGACGGGCCACGGATTCCCCGACCCCAACTACCTGCAGAACGTGCAGGCTGAGCTGGCCGCACAGGGCGTCACCGAGGCCTTGCTACTCGACTAGCGTGCGTCGGGCCCCACCCTCCCGCCCCTCTCCCCGCCCCCCCGCCCCCCTCCCCGCCCCCCTCCCGCCCCCCTCCCGCCCTCCTGCCACGTTCGCTTCGAACTCGGGCCAGTGGCAGCGGCCAATTGACCGAGAGTCGACAGTCGATGGTCGAGACCACAGGCGGTGTGAAGCTTTGCCCGCGTCCTTGGCCGCCCCTCCTCCCCGGGGTTTGATCTCGCGTCTTTACTCTCTTCCGAGTCATCGCTCGCCTTTTGCCGTGACCTCTCGAGGACCTGGCACTTATTAATCGATCAGTCATTAAGACCGTCCTTACCTTACAGCCTTGTACATGCGCTTCGCTGTTAAAATCGTACCTCCCCGCTGTGAACCCCACGCTCGACAACTACGTTTGTGTGCAAGCGAAATCCGGAAGCCCGGTGACTTTGCTTTTTGTTCGTGCTCTAAGGCTGCGATGGCGCAGACAGCGGTGGCTGCTGCTGCTTTGCACTGAAGCTTTTGGGGTGGTGTTGGGGGGGGGGGGGTGCGTGCATTGCATGATCACATCAGCAGAGGAGATTTTGAGCCGCGTTTGACGGCATGAGCGCTTGAGTTTTGGAGGGAGATGGCGAAGGTGGGGGGGAGGCCCTGTTGTGTTTCAGGGCAGCGGCAAGCACTGTATGAAATGGCCCGTGGTGGACAGGAGGTGGCGTGCGTTTGCGCGTGTTGCAGAGAAGGCTTCTACGCAAGCGCGATGGCACTGGGAACGAGGTGGTGCGGGTCTGTCGAGCTGTCACACGCCACGCCATCGCACTGCAAGATGGTGGCGCGGATTTAACGATGTGGTGTAATCACGTCTGCTGTGTTTACATCTTCCGATGCCTCGCAATCCCCGCGCACGGCCGCAGGAGCAAAAGTAAACCTGGGTCTCGTTGCGATGAGGTCTTATGTCAGAAGTACGTCTCGTACCTCTGAGTTACTAGCAATGTTTTCTTTGTTGAGAAATGAATAGTTGAAAAGGTTTGAGGAAGAGGTTAAGAAATACAATACCTTATGACGTATATGAGTATCCCTGACTGGGAAATATATTGTTCATCTTTGCAGATGGCGCACTGTGTGTACTATAACGCGGGAAGTCCTTTGGCCGCAAGGGGCGTAACCTCATGCGAGATGCGGCAGGGGCGTACAGAATTCTTCCCGCTCACAAGACGAGTCTCGTTTTTTTTTTTTTTAAACTCGGCCGCCTGCCCTTCGCAGCACACGCAGAATGTTCAGGCGGTCTCGTGTAATTTTTGTTATTGTACATTAATAATATTTTTGGTTTAGCTTTAATTTTCCGCTTTGTGTGCATGAAGCGCAACAAACTGGCCTATTGAGGGCCCACGTATGGTTTTTCTTGTTGTGGTGGACAACAAAGCCGATCACGGTTGTGCGTCCTTATCCGTGTTTGGTGTTTGTGTTAACCACAGTGCTCAGTTTGAACTATCTCCCAGCCTTAACGATAAATGTTGAAATCACGTATTGTGTACCGTGCATAGTTATTCGTTGTCAAGCTGGAACTTCGATGCCTGGCGACAGATTATGACCACTCATCTGCCCTGGTACTTGTGTCATCACTTGTGTGTGTACAGCTGCGGCGTCACTCTTGCATTTGCATATTATCCCAGAGGCAATTTTCCCCCGGCACGCCTTTTACAATTTGAGTGCCATGCGCCGTTAGCCCACAGATTGAAAGGTCAGGCATGTGCACAAGGCCCCACCTCCGTTCCAAAATGCATGGTAGGGTGCCACTCAGAATTAATGTTTGTTATTTCCGTGGTCACGCTTCCTGGTTTTATTCGCTTGCCGGTTAAACCGAAGCGCTGCGAGTCTGAAGGCAATCCCTTTGTATTTACTGGTTGCTCGACGGACTTGAATCGAGCATTCGCATCGTACGCAGCGTGCTAATCGGAGGTGCGTAGAAGAGTTAACTATGCACGTCAAAGAGAATCCGGAGCAACCTGTAAATATTAACAGGTTAGAATGGCATTCAGCAGTAGATTATAAACACTAAAGGTAACAAATGGAGAGGGTCTGATCGCAGACAATTTAAACTTAACTTTTCCGTATGCATATTGAGTGGCACCCTAATGCATGGCTTCTAAAGAACGTGGCTTCGAGATGCGCGCCGCATACCCCGACCGCAGGGTTAATGCAAGACGGACGGCTCGTCGCCTCTCCTCTGTGGAGGCGGGGGGGGGGGGGGGCGAAATTGCGAGTCGGGGAAGGTCCGCTGAGGGGGGGGGGGATGCCTGAGTCACGGTTGGGAAAGAGTCGGGGGGGGGGGGGGGGGGGAGAGGTGTTGGCGATGGAGGCCGTGCTCCGTCGGCGCTTGGGCGAGGGCTGTCGACGGTGCTTTATTGGTGGAGCCACTGCACGTGTGGGACCACGTGGATGGATTGGAGTGGAGGTGTCCATCTGACGAGATGCGACGTAGAAGACCCGAGATTGACGCCGTCGCCGTGGTCGATTCTCCTTTAAGTGAAGTGCTTTTGTGGTGGTTGGTGGTTGTGGGTGGTGTTGACGGCCGTGATGTTTTCTGCGCTCGTGGTTACGACGACGCAGGACAAATTAATAGTTCTCACAATTTCGTAATAATGAGTTTGTGCTTCGAATCGTAATAATACAACTAAAAATAAAAGTTAGAAGATAATTGTAAAAAAAAATGATATAGCAATAATACTAATAACGAGAACAAATTATATCGTAATACTAATGATTAACGTGTCTGTGTTGAGGTGGAGGAGAAAGATGACCAACATCTGCACCGTGTGTCTGGGGCTGTGCGCGCGCACGGCCGCTTGGCAGTAAACGTCCCTGCTGAATGTGAGATCACGTAAATCGCTCGCTCGCTCGCGTGACTTTTTGAAAAAGTTAAGCACGAAACTCCCTTAGATTTCACCTGCACCGTCCGACGAACGTTCCGCACATGTGTGTCATTGCATTGTATAATGGACATGAATGTGACTTTTAACAGCACAATGTCGTGCGTGCGGTTAGAGGGATGGCTCTTGTGTTTCTCTTCATTGGTCGCCCGTACTAACGACTTTCTTCCTATAACCTTCCGACCGATGGAGGACTTGTTCCGCAGAGGAATGAACAGACGATTACTTTAAGCGGGATATGTTGAGCCTTAAAGGCAGCACAGTGGAGGAAGTGGTTTATTTTTTTTGTATGTGTTTTTTTCGCAAGATTGTACGAAAATGTTGAACCGGGGGCACGTGGTAAAAATTACCCAGCAAACGCGGTACGCGGTTTGCTGAGAGGCCTTGTTGCTCTGACTGGAGGTTTCCTCAGCGATTTCCTGAGAGCATGTTTGAGTTGCGTCTTTGTTGTTTAGCTTTGTTTTCCCAATGGTTATCGGGAGTGTGAATGCCACTTTTGTGTGGAGGTGGCCGTGTTGCTCAAGGTGTCGTAGCAATTGAGCCGGCACTGGTTTGTCTTCAGCCTGGTCAACCAATAATTGCACAAAAAAAGCCTCGATGTTTTTTTTGTAATAAAAAGTTTCCATTCGATGCCATGCAGTGACCGCTTTGCAGGACATACGAGAATGCTCCACTTAGTGCCGGATAAGACAACTCGGGTGACTTTAAAAGTTGATGCGTTTCCTCTTCCCCCCCGCAACCCCGCTGCGTAACTGAACCGAGCCAAGCCGGGGGCCAAGGTAGCGCCGCGTGGATCAGGACAAGGCAGGTTGTTTTTCCTCTGTAAAAAACCGAGCCGCGCCGTTGACGTCACAATGAATTGAGTCGTGCCGCATGCGAAAGACGCGGTAACATGTCCTCGGTGGTACCTGACTGATGTCTCGAGCATGTCGTTAGCCTTCCCCCCCCCCATCCCCACCGCTGGGCCCAGTGCAAGATTAAGATGTCTTGTAAGGCCGGAATTTCACAGTTTGGTACCGGCTGAGCTCGGCAAATATTCAGCGTAAAGCCATCCCCGTACTGCATGGACCCCGCGTTGGCACAGCTCGGATGTGCCAGTGGAAAACGAAGGGGGGGGGGTAATTGACGTCATCTTCCAGGGTTCTTACTTGAGGCTGCTAAGATTGCTCGCTTGTGAGCGATGTAACATTTACTAATGGAAAAATGTGTTAATCTCATCGCGTGACGCCGATGTAAATTGGTTTGAAGAACACGTAGCTTATGTGCCAGCGCAAATCCCGCGTGTCCGTCTCGGTCAGCTGGTAAACAACCTTCCTTCGCTGGTCGTGCGGTGAAACAATCGCGCTTCTGGAATTAATATTTTGTACATTTTCCTGTCGGTACTGCTATTTTGTTCCTTTGTGATTACATGCATTGTCGGACACTTTTTTGTTTGTATTAATGTTGGTTTGCAGATTAACACGCCTAACTTATAAACATTTACCATGTAGTTGAAATGACAAAATGAGAGACATTAAAGGACACGGGGATGTTTATGTATACGTTGTTCTGAGACTACTGCGTGAAAATTATTTCTCGTGTTCCCCCCCCACCACCACCACCACCTCTGGTACGGTGCCCAGAACGAACACTTCCCACTCTTCATGCCCACTGGCCACAGCCAAGATTGTTTTTCGATTTAAAGCCTTCGTGACTGCAGGGATTCATATTCTTCTTTCGGTGACTTTACCGAAAGAACCAAGAATATGATTTTATTTCGTAAATTTGTCCGGCTTATTTAATAGTCAGGCGTAGATGGATGTAATGCAGAAGAGGGCGTCTTTGGGAAACTGGGTTTTAACTCGTGACTGAGGACTTGCGAGGAATCGTGGCCGAGTGACTCACGTGGGGTGGGTGCATCGTGGCCAAGGAGGTCTGCAACCTTTCGATGAAGAAGAGCCACCTGGTTTTTTTTGTTTGTTTTTGTCTTTGACAACAATAGTTCGAGAGCCGCCATCACAAGCAAGAGCCACTTGTCCACAACACACAACAGGAGGTACACAGCAGATGACACGGACATTCTGACTTAAACAAAATCGGTGATGGAATAAACTTCGCCTATTTAGGTGTCCCCCCCCCCCACACTTAGTTATTATTTAACAATAGTTTGTACATTTGATCGCCACCAAGACATTCCATAGTGTCCATTGTACGCCTTTTGGCGTCTTTTGGCCCATCACCAGTGGAGACTAGGCTCTAACGAAAGCCGTCTCGGGTGTGGACCAATCAAATTCAAGGACAGTGCATATTTTTATAAGAGTTGTCTTTTTGTTTGCATTTTTACTGCTTGTGTTGTGGTTATTGCAGACATGATGCCTTAAATAAAGGTGTCAGTTTTTTGAGCCAGTTAAAAGGGTAAAACCTGTTACTACATTCCATAGTGACCCATTTCCTGCCATATTTAAATTATTTTTACTTAAAATATTGTTTTAAGATTTACGTTTATTTTAAAACGGCTACCCGCTAGGGGGCAGCCTAGGAGCCGCATGTTGCCGACCCCTGATAATCGATCATTGCGAATGTTGATATATTGCTCGCAAATTGTATTGTACGACGCAATTGGGAACAGCCACAGAGCAGCATCGCCCCCAAACGGGGGGGGGGGGGGTCGGGGGGTGGTTGCTGCTTTAATATGCAGTGGTGATGGTGTCCGAGTCCCGAGTTGGTGGATTTCAACTCATGGGCTGCAAGCCACTGCCTGCAGGGTTCGGTTCTCAAACGTTGCTACCGATAACTTGACAAACAAAACAAGAAAAAAGCGATAGATTTTAGTTTTCACTTGAACTGGTTTAGGATCCGTAAATATTTTGTTTATGTCCAACAAACACTACTCTACAGGGCATGACAGGGGCACCATTAACCACCCCGTGGAGTTTTAGTGAAGTGACATCGGAAGTGGTTGTTTGGTCGCGTTCCAAGAGCCCATCTGAAAAGGTTCGCCGTTCAATTGCTCGCTCCGAGTGGCGACTTCTTGAGATCATGGCGTACGAGTTGCAAACAACGGAGCACAATACTCGGGACAAGAAAGTGAAAATACCTGTCCCTAGGTAAAAAGACAAGGCTCGATGAGGATAGAGAGGGGGGGCCTCTTGGTCCAAAGGGTGAGGTCTCAGGATGAACTGAATGGTAAAAAAAAGCGTCACTTTTTTAAAATTTTCTTGCTGTGGTTTTCACACATGATGATTGCTTGTGTTGCAGTCGAAACGTGAGAATTTTATTGTTTTGTATTTTTATTATTTTATTGTTTTATATTTTTATTATTTTATTGTTAAACTTCTACGTGATTTTACCGAAAGAACCAGGAATATGGTTCCAGCTCTCTTGAGGTACGCGTGCACTCGGTCCAAGAGGACCGTTCCCATTACCCAGGGCTTCGTGTCAGCCGAGTTGGCGACGTGGAAATTTGTATTCGCCCGGCGACACCCCACGTTCAGTGTGCGTCTCGAATTTGGCCGTGGCTGCTGTGTCGCGTGCACGCTACAGCGTGCTCGTGACCCAGACGAGATATTCGGTGAGATTTCTGCTTGGGGGGGGTGGGGGGGGGGGTGGGGGGGCGAATGCGGAATCGTTATTGAGCTCGGGTTTTCATTTGGTGGCCTTCAACACGCTTCCCAATTCATCGGAGAACCCCGTGGGGTGTAAAGGAAAAGCGGCGCTTGATCGGGGTCCACGGCGTCACCAGTGACGCTGGTGGCAGTTTTGCCTCGTTCGCAGTAAAAAAAAAATGTCAACGTGCACTTCGCTCCGACGTTTGCCAAACTGCAGGCACCGACTGGAGAAATTTTGCCACGCGCCGCGCGAAAGTTGGTGCGAGCCCCGGCACACGGGGATGAGAGGGGGGAGCGGCCAACATCGCGCGGGGCTCGACGAGTTGGGGAGGGTGGGCAGCGCGTTGTGACGGCCCGCATCCAGCAACCTGTTTGCACTTCTCGTGGGCAGACGCGTTTCGGAGAATCGTCGGTAAGCAAATAGTTGGGGAGGGGGGGGGGTGGTGGTGGAGAAGCTTTATTCTGGCAAAAGCACCGCGTGGTGCGACAGAATTTCTGCAGATCAGTACTTTTATAAAACAGCAGTGGTAGCAATGTCAGCGCCTTACTCTAAATAAATTACAACACGCGTGTTTTTGAATGAAGAATATCAATGCGCGTGCTTCCTCTCAGCAGCTGCGGTTAATTAAGCTCATCACCTCTGTGTGTGTGTGTGTGGGGGGAGGGGCGGGGTGGCGTGGGAGCGGTGGTGCAGTGATTAGCGCTCTACTTTATGAGCCCAGCAACCCAGTGATGGATGGATAAATGTCGTTCGCGGGCTGTTTTCGACTGGGATTCCTCATGTGGCCGCTGGGTCATAGGCAATGAAGTCGAGGAATGTGTTCGGCTCGTGGGTCATTAGGCTCCCCGCCCACGATGTGTTCTGGCTCACACTCGCTCCACACAGATTTGTTCAATGAGTGGACCACCACGTGACTATCTCGAGGTCAAATGTACGGGATTTCTCTTGGGCGAGCTGCAGCAAAGGGAAGCGAAAGGCGATTTGTGTAGCAGAAGCGGTTAAAATCAGGGTTACCCAGCAACTGGGCTCCCTTGCTGCCGGGCTACCAGGTTTAATGGGCTACTAAGCGACCGGCTGACTAGGCAGAGTGGCTATGAGGCTATCGGGCTACCAGTCGACTGGGGTACCAGGCTGTCGGCTGTTAGGCTACCGGGTTACCAGGCTCCTCGGGTACCAGGCTGCCTTGCTATCAGGCTACTGGGCAATCGGGCTGTCAAGATAACGGGGTACCAGGCAACTGGGCAATCATGCCGTCGGGCTGTCAGGCTACCAGGGTACCAGGCTACCAGACTACTGGGCAATCGGGCTGTCCGGCTGTCGGACTCCCGGGGTATCAGGATTCCAGGCTACGCGACAGCGGGATTCACGATGCGTCCCACCAACGGCAGGGCGCCCGTGGCGTCGTGCCGAACCATGAAGACGAAGGGGCGGTCCACGGAGAACTCCATGCGGTGGACGTGCGCTTCCTCGGCGGGGCCCCGGGCCGCCGCGTCGAGGGCCCCGCCGCCGCCGCCCTCTTCGGCCAGCTCCAGCAGCGCCGCGTGGCGCACGGCCGACACGGCGAGCCCGACTTGCGCCTCGGACAGCGCGGAGAGGTCCGCGTCGCTCGAGAACAGCGACTCGAGCTCTGTGGGTGATAGGGGAGGCGAGGCGCGGCCGTGGTGAATGTGGCAAAGGCGCAGCCGAGCGATTTCTCGCTCGCTGGCGCCACTGCCTCGGCTCGGGCGAGCTCTGGAAGAGAGCTCCCTCCGGGAGGTCATTTGTTGGCCAACTGTCTCGCGCTGGCTCACACGGCTGGGGGGGGGGGTGGGGAGAAGAGACACAAAGTTGGGTGTGGGAACGCCGCCACTCGAATGAACTTGTTTTTTTTTATTTCTCTAGAGCGCTGGAGTTGCGGAGAAAGCCCGTTAAAACAAGGTGAGTTTTTACGACGAGATTTTACTCAAGTGCAACAGACTCGAGATTCCCGAATGAACCGGGCAACGACTGAATCTCGAGCGAGCACCCCGTGGCGGTGAAACATCGCCACTTGGGTGGACACAGAGCGGTGGGCTCGGTGCTGGCCACCGACCCCCTCGTTACTCGTCCGCTAACAGCACTTGCCCCAACGGGCTACTAACGCTATATGGGGGATATTTGTCTTTTGTGTGTGTGTGGGGGGGAGCGGTAGTGTAGCGGTTAGCGCACTGCGCTACGAACCCGGCCACCCGAGTTCACGGCCAACGCCAGCGACGATTATCTGAATCGGTCCTGGGCCTCCCCTAGGTCGACTCAGCCTCAAATGAGTATCTGGTGCGATGTGGTAAACATCGCCACTAGGGAGACAAAGGCGGCCGGGCGTGGTACTGGTCACCCACCCACCTCGTGTGCCGTGCCGGCCTTCACGGGTGCTCGCTAACAGCACTTGCCCCAACAGTCTGTTACAGGCTATACGGGGGGTCTTTGTGTGTGTGTCGTACTGAGCTGCTTGACGGCTCCTGCCAGGTCTCCCGCGTCGCGCAGCGCGAGCCGCGGCACGGAGAGCCGCGCCCGCACCGAGTGCAGCGCGCGGACGATGTCGGCCACGAACTCGGACGTGAGGCTCTCCTCCACCACCGTCAGGTTGCCCGTCACCTCCACCGGCACGAACAGCAGCAGGCTGCAGCCGCCCTGCAGCGGCAGCTGGGCCACCTGTCGGTCAGGGTACGGGGTCGGGGTCAGGATCGGGGTCAGGGTCAGGGTCGGGGGTCAGGGGAGCAGGGCAGGGAGGAAGCAGGGCATGGGGGGTGGGGAGTTGCCGACGGCTTTACCCGGCAACCGAGCTCGGTGTCGAGGCCGTAGCGGATGGGAACGTCGTCTCGGCGCATCGTGGCCACGCGGAGCGCCACGGGCCCCCGCTTCCCGCCGCCCGCGTGGAAGACGCCCTGCGCCGTCTCCTCCGGCGGGAACTGCAGCGCCCACTTGGCTGTGGTTGGTGGTTGCGGTGGTGGTGGTGGTGACAGCAGCAGAGCGAGAGAGAAGTCACGGGTCATCGTGGTCATGCAACATCAATACCGTCGGTAGCTTATTGATGTTTAACGGAGGAGAAAATGCGTCGATCGTTGTTTTATATGATCATTGTCGATTATAGGGCCCTGTTTAATGAGCTTCACTTTTCGGGATTCCCCTCCGCTTGGGAAACTTCTAGATCGACGATGGTTAAAGTCACGGTCCAACTCGGCGGCTTTACTTTCGTCTGCTTTAACGTGCGGCTACAGCTTTGGCTGAAAAGTGTCTCCCGTTTGTTCGCGGGACCCGGGATTTGGCCCACGATTCGCCTTGCTCTGACCGCTGCCCTCCCCCAATGGCGCAGCTGTCGGGTGTTCACGCGGTGCGACTCCAATAGGCGGGCCAGAGGGGCCCAGGCTCTGAGCTACGAGAAGCAAGTGACATTGAGCAGAGGAGGGCATTGTAACCCTTGCACCCAGGGCTCATGCCGGCTGCGCTACGCCACGGCCTTGAGACGACGGTGAACTTTTGAGACGCCGCAGCGATGAACGGGGTCTTGAAATTGTAGGGGATTATTTCGGGACATCCTCACACGCAAATACCACACAGCCACGGGTTAAGGGTCAGGGGTCACGGGAGCACTGCTGTTCGGGGTCGGCTCTGGACGACGAGTGGAAGTGCGGTGTGAGTTTGCGTCGAGAATAAAGACCTGCTCAAGTCTCCTCTTTCAAAAATCGTGAGCGCCACCATCGGGCGTTCGTGAATTTCCCGCAGACATCCGCCCAGAGGCGCGAGTTGTTCCGCGTTGTTTAACGCGCAGTGGGTTTTCGCGACCAATATTATCCAGGAGCCTTTTGCCCGTACAAGGACGGGTGTATTGCCGTAAATCTGAAACTTGCAAGCTAAAAGCAGACTTGCGACGTGATATTCATTGCATCCGTTCGTGTGCAATTTGTAAGGCTGCGGTTGACACAGACTTATTTCATTTTAAGGTTATAATCCCTTGTTCATCACGACGTCCTTTTTACTTCGATGTCTCAACAGCAGCGTTATGGAGATCGCGTGACGTGATGAGGGTTCTGCTTTTGTAGTGAGGGTTGTGAGTTGACGCTGAGGAGGGGGGAGGAGGCGCCTCGCCCCCCCCCACCCCCCCATGTGGAGTGACGTCACCCGCTAATTATTATTAATGGAGGGGGTCCATGTGGAGGACGTCACCTCTTCATGATTTTTAATGAGGGGGGGCGTTCGATGTGCAGTGGAGTCACCTGCTCATGATTATTAATGAGGGGGGTTCTCCATGCGGAGTGACGTCATCCGGTCACGATTATTAATGGTGGGGGGTCAATAACAAAGCTGGGGGGTGTTTTAGTTCGATCGCGTAAATATAAATGTGTCGTTAAACCCGCCACCACCCGACACGGCCAATTCGCAAGGTTTGTCAGGTAAACAAAACGCGCCAATTGGTCACTGCTCCAACACACAGCGGTTGTGTGCTGGAGAGTTAACGCACGAACGTTTACGATTCGAGCACCGCGGCGTTTCGCTGGTGATTACAGGCGGCAGCTTCATCAGGCGATTTTGCCAGGATCGTGAAGGAGTCTTCCTCTTTCGGTCCTGGCTTTGGTGTGCTCACCGCTCAGAATCCGGAGGCTGCCGGTGCAATTCAATCGCAATGGTGCAAGATTCTTGAATCCACCCCCCCCCCCCCCCCCCGGACCAGCGGTTCTGTTCACACAGCAGCGGCAATGGGTTCGCCAGGGCTAGCCTATCGGCAGGGTCGTGTACTGTGGGTTAAGGAGGAGTACGCCAAAAAACCCCTCCAGATGGGCTCTCTACGTACGTGCGTATGTTGAACTTCTTTCGCACCGTGAGTAGTAGCCAAGCGTGATAATCGGAGCTTCCTCTAAGCGTTAGGCATGACTAGGCAATTGCAGGGCCGCACCTTTACCTTATACAGACCTCAAATAGGTGTTATGATTACACTGTATTATTATTATTATATTTGGGCGCTGTGGTGGCTAGGAGATGTTAACTGCCTCGCCTCGTATACAGGAGGTCGTGGGTTCGATCCCGACGCTGACGCCTGCTGTTTATTTGGAGTTTACATGTCTCTCTCCCCGTGGTCACGTGGATTTATCTCCGGGTCCTCCGGTTTTTCCCCTCCACAATTAGAATCAACGTCGTGCGTTTAGAGTATTTGGCCGCTATACATTTCACGTGATTATGATAAGCCACTTCGTTGAACCATTTTTTGTGATGACCAGGTCGCCTCTGAAAAAAAGAGCCTATGTTTGCTCAGTGGGCCTTACCTAGTAAAATAAAAAATATATCGTAAAAATAATAAATGATTATTTTTCGAGCTGCTGGCCATGGTGCTGAAGTGGGGAGTCGGACCCTTGACGTGCATCGCGGACACGAGCAGCAGGGAGAGGTCGGCGGGCAGAGCCGGCACGGCGTCACGCAACACGCCGCTCGTCCGCTGGGAGAGCCAGCCGTTGATGTCCTGCAGGTCCCGGCCCGTGGAGCCGCTCAGCACCTTGGGCTCCGTGCCGTAGAACTTGAGAACGTCGGCAACGTACGCCTCCTTCGGGGGAAGCCCTGTGCGCGGTGGCGGAAGAGGAGGACGAGGAGGAGTGAGCGAGGAAGAGGGGGAGGAGGTGCAGACGACAGCAGCATGAGTCTCTCTCGCGCGCGCGCACACACGCGTGGGTTTGCACGGACACTCATTTCACTCGAAGCGTTCCCAATGCAAGGCAAATAATGTTGGTGGTGGTACTGCTGCTGCTGCTGCATTGGACAGTGCTGCACAAGCACACTTAACAACAAACGCTAAACACACGCGCTAATAACAGTGGCCTTACTAGGGAAATATTTAAATATAATAGGCGACGTATATGTGCCAGTTAAAAGGGTAAAACCTATTCGTATTCCTACAAAAATAATAGGCGACGTTTTGAGCGAACCACTGTGCCACCACTGTGCCACTGCTACCCATCCACCACGCTGCGCACAAACGCATGCGCGCATACATAGCGCGGTGCGCTAACCACCGCACCGCCGCTTCCCCCACTGTTCACACACACACATGCACACCTGGCGCAGTGCGCTAATGACTGCACCACCGCTCCCCGCCCACCGTTCTGCACACACGGACACGCGCAAGCACGCGCGCACGCACCTCTCTGCAGGTAAACTCGCGCCGCGTGCTGCTGCTGCCCCTTCGCCTCGGAGCCGAGTGTCGCCAGCAGCTGCCGCTGCAGGTCGTGCACGTCTCCCTGCTGGACGGTGTCGTAGTTGAGCGCCTTGCTCAGCCGCTTCCACGAGCTCGAGCCCGGGGCCGCTCCTGCCCCACCGAGGGGGGGCGGGGGGGGGGGCGCAACCACGGCCGTGAGACACGACCGGCACTCGCTCATGGACACATCGTCTCTACACCCCAGTCCTCACCTACTCCCTCGCCACCCTTGAGCGCCGTCCCATCCTTAACGAATGCTCCCTCTCTTACCTGCACTTTGGGCCGTCGCGGTGGTATACAGGTGGTCGTGAGTTCGATCCCTACCCTGACGCCTGCTGTATATTTGGAGGTTGCGGTGTCTCTCTATCATCATCATCATCACGGTGGCTAGGAGATGTTAACTACCTTGGCTGGTATACAGGAGATTGTGGGTTCGATCCCGACCCTGACGCCTGCAGGGTATTTGAAGTTTACATGTTCTCTCTCTCTCCCCGTGGACGTGTGGATTTTTCTCCAGGTCCTCCGGTGTCTCCCTTCAATTTTAGAATTTTCACGCGTTTAGATTATTTGGCTGCTATGTACATTTGCACATGACAAGTCACTTCGTTGAGCTATCTATGTGGCCAGGTCGTCTCCGAAAAAGAGCTACATCGCTAAGTGGGCCATACCTAGTAAAAAAAATAGTTTAGTTTACATTGACCCAACAAGTACACACATCACACTAACATGCATACACAGCACATACAATGTAGGAAGATATCCATTTACGGGCACTCCATTTAAATAACAGAGGGAAATTGTAGAAAAAGACCACCCCTGAGCCGGTGGTGGTTAGTCCACAATTCCCATGGCAGGGGCAGGTCTCGCCGAAAGGACAAACCACTGTTGACTTCTCCACCGAGTGGTAACTATTTTATCGACCCCTACGAGGATGATGGGTTGAAGTCAATCCCCCCCTAAACAGGAATTGAGCTGGCAACCTGCTGATTCCGAGCCCTTTTGGGTAAACAAGCATAATAAATGTATGCACAAAATAACCATTAACTTTGGAGTTCAAAAGGTCATCACGGCCAGTGCTGCTGATGCAACCGCTTCCCCCCTCCTGCCAGGTTCTTAACTGTTGCACGGATGACATCTGACTCGAACATCCATCATTGCAGGCTGATCCACCATTGATTGTCTGGGTTTAATTATTATTTCCCACATGGTTGGTGAACATGGTCAGTGCCTGGCACACTCCGACGTCACACGAGCGTGATCGGGTACCGTGGAGCCAAGCTTTCGTGGATCAGTTAAAACTTCCAACCCGCTTGGGCTTTATGTACGAATGTGTGTATGTGGAACTTCTTTTGCACCGTACGTAGCCAACCGTGCTAATCGGAGGTGCGGGGGGAAGGACAACAAACTAAAAACACAAAAGGCAGTTCTAAATAAATGAGTTTGTCAATCCAGATGATGTAAAAGTGGATAGCTTTAGTGGCTTTCTGATACCGGAAGGAAGCGCGTTCCAGACGGCCACAAAAGCGCATCTGAAGCGCCCAATGCAGTGACCGTCTTCGTTCGATGGCTACGAGGATGAGCGGAGTTCGCGTGATGATGGTTTCTGTTCCTTGACGAGATCAGCGAGGCATTGTGGTTCATTTGTGGCAAGCACTTTGTGTGTAACGAGTGCGACCTTTCTCGTCATTAGCCAGGATATGGCAGTACAGCAAGTGGGTTTATGGACCCGCTCGTGCGGACCTCTGAGTGTTACGTGGGGGGTTTTCTCCAGGCACTTCAGTGTCCTCCCACACGAAGTAAAACGCGCCTTATTTAAACGCGAATTGGCCAAACATCCCAATAGGGTGGCAGGACCCTCCTGTAAAAAAGAGTCTTGAGACTCGGCGAGGCTTTTCCGGGATAGAGGGCATTATTGTTATTTTGTTGTAATGTTTTTTTTTTAAAGATCAAAATGAGTAGTGAATTCACCAAAAAAATATTTCCATATATCCACGTGTATATGGAGCGCTGAGGGCTCGCGACACCGGTGGCCGGTCGCCTCCCGATCACTCTTCTATCGCTACTACCGTGGCCACTGTTCTCGCGCGCGCGCGACATCCAACGCGGGCCGCGGACAACGCGCGCGCACGGCGGCGGGGGCCTCACCCAGCAGCAGCATGGACAGCGAGGTGGACAGCGCGATGGGCGACAGCAGCACGTTGCTGCGCTCGTCAGCCGCCGCCGCCGCCCGCCGGAAAACCTCGAGGCCGAAGTTGGCGTGGGCGCGCGCCAGCATCTTGTCGGGGAACGGAGTGAGGTCCTCCTCGGCGTCGTCCGCACGGTCCTCCTCGGGAGCCGCCGCCGCCGCTGCGGTCGCTGCAGGAGGAGGTGGAGGAGGCGGCTGGGTCACCCGCGGCTTGGCCGGCCTCTTGGGTGGACGCTTGGGTTTGGGGGGCGGCCGGGGTCTCCTCACCTTGCGAGGGAGAGGTTGAGACGGGTGGGGGGCATGGCGTGGGAGGGGGGTGGGGGGGGGGGGGCACGGTCAGGACTCGCTCACCGGTGGTCAGTCGTCTCCTGATCACTCTTCTATCACGACGACCGTGGCTGCTGTTTTCTCGTGGGAATTTTACCCGTCGGTTTCATCGCTCGCGTGCTACGGACTCGGCCTACCAGATTGACTGCTCCATCTCGTCCACACCGCGTTCTACCACCGCACGGAAGGCTACACGCAAACACTTCTCTCTCCTTCTGCTTCTTCCGTCGCACTTTGGAATTGCCTCCCGTCGTCCATTTTCCACAAGTCCTCATCATTATGTCGTTCAATTCAAGAAACGCGTTACGCTCTTAGCTATTACGACTTTCACGGTGCTGTTTGTTACTGGCCGCATGACCTTTTGGCCCTTTGGACCGGAATAATACAGAAGGCTGCAGCTTAGAACCTCCGATTTTGAGGGTCCTCCAAAAGGATATCCAGGACTAATTTCAAAATTATTTATTTTAAATGTGATACGGGAGGCACTGTGATCAACTCACTGTCTGTATTACCACAAGTTGTGTGCCCAAATTGAATAAAACTTTGCTCCATTTAACCTTAGTTTACAATCACCGAGTTGAGACACACGTGAGGCGACGCGGTGACGCCGTGTCCTCACAGTGATTAAAGCTTCATTAGCCCCGCGCCTGGCCCTGCTTGGCCCCAAGCCAGTTTCCGATGTCTTGTGAGGCCTGCGCAGCACGGTGTGGTTCTGGCCCGGCACGGAAAATCCATCCGTAAAGTAAAAGGCCCCACGCTAGCTTGGCTCGGATGTACCAGTGATAAAGAGTTGTGTGTGTGTGTGTCTTTAAGCCTCTGTGTGTGCGTGTGTATGTAACTTAGTGAGTGTCTTTGAGGCTCTGTGTGTCCTTGCCTTTGTGGGGAGCGGTAGTGTGGCGGTTAGCGCGCTGTGCTACGAATCGAGCAACCCGAGTTCGATTCCCGCTCACGGCCAACACCAGTGACGATTACCTGAACTAATCCTGGGCCTCCCCTAGGTCGATTCAGCCTCAAATTAGTACGTGGTGCTGTGTGTAAACATCGCCAATGGGGATACAAAGGCGGCCGGGCGTGGTGCTGGCCACCCACCCCCCTCGTGTGCCATGCCGGCCTTCATAGGATGCTCGCTAACAGCACTTGCCCCAACAGTATTTTAAGGATGTATGGGGGACCTTTGTTATTTGTTTGTGTAGATTAGTGTGTGTGACTTAGAGATACGCACTCTCGGTGGGTCCTGGGCCGTGGTCAGATACACCAGCAGCGAGACAAAGAGGAGTAGCACCAGCAGCTTCCTCATCTTCACCTGCAAGAAGCACGCCAGAAACCATCCTCGCCATCACCAGCATAAACATCGGCGTTCAATATTCGCCCCTCATCGTGATTTTTTTTAGGTATCCTGGAAATATATATTTTTTTACGACGCTGACCCACGCCTCCTAATTGAAAACGCATTACAATCCACTGTCCAACGGTTGCCACTGTGTCATCTCCCCACAGATGAACTGAATTCACTTTTCTTTTCATTCATTAATCAGCAATCGCGTAGCTATCGAGTGTGCAGGCGGTGCAGCTGCACGGGGGACCGTGGCCCGTGGCTCGAAGGCGAACAGACGCCAGTCCGTGAAGAGGTGGGGGGGGGTGGGCGTTGTGCAGGGGGAAAGGACTGGACAGGTGGGCCACATGTCAAGCCTTGCATCAGGGCTCACGCCAACCACGCTATGCCACTCGTGCCACTGATAGTCTCAGAAATCGTAGCATACACACACACACACAAAAAACAAAGATCCCCCGTGTAGCCTTGACAGACTGGTGGGGCAAGTGCTGTTCGCGAGCACCTATGAAGGCCGGCACGGCACACGAGGGGGTCGGTGGCCAACACCACGCCCGGCCGTCTTTGTCTCTCCAGTGGCGATGTTTACTATATACCGCACCAGGTACTCATTTGAGGCTGAGTCGACCTAGGGGAGGCCCAGGACGGGTTCAAATAATCGTCACTGGTGTTGGCCGTGAGCGGGGTATCGAACCCGGGTCGCCAGGTACACAACAACAATAGCTGCCATTTGCCACTAAGTGGCGGTGATGTCACCACGGCGCTTGTGCCAGGCTAGGTGCACGTTGAGGCCACCTGAAGTGTTGAACGCCGCCGGCAGGAGGTCACGGGGCAGACCCAGGTGCCATCAATCAATCAAGTCTTGCTTTTTATAGCACTATTTCGTGCAAAGGATGCAATTCAAAGTGCTGTACAGATAAAAAAAACATTGTTAATAGACTAAATCGCAAGAAGAATTAAAGCAAATTACGTACAAAACAAAATAGCATTATAATAAATTACTACCGAAGGCATATTAAAAAAAAACAACACTCTCAAAGAATCTCAAGTAAACGCAAGTTTCAAAAGATTAGTTTTTAGATTCAACCTAAAAACTGCTGCGCATTTGTGAAGCCCTCAGATCCCCTGGCAATTCGTTCCACAGGCGAGGTCCATGACTCACTGAAGGCCCCGTGTCCTTGGGACGACTGACTGAGATGACTGGCCGACGCACCGCCTGTGGCCCCCTACCGTGCCAGGTATAAACAAAGATCCCCCCTATGGCCTTCACAGACTGTTGGGGCAAGTGCTGTGAGCGAGCAGAACCTATGAAGGCCGGCACGGCACACGAAGGGGTGGGTGGCCAACACCACGCCCAGCCGCATTTGTCTCCCCAGTGGCGATGCTCACACACCGCACCGGGGAATAATTTGAGGCTGAGTCGACCTAGGGGAGGCCCAGGACCGGTTCAGATAGCCGTCACCGGGTGTTGGCTGTGAGCGGGGTAACGAACTCGGGTCGCCAGGTTCGCAGCGCAGCGCGCTAACCGCTACACTACCGCTCCCCACCAGGTCTGCACACACATAGGCACATACACACACCCATAGGCACACACACACACATCGGCACACACGTATCCGCGAGGTCTCCCACGCAAGCGAGAATGGTGAAATTCCCCCCTCCGGTTTTCAGTTTTGTGCTGTTTGTTTAACTTCAGTCCGCGGCTGAGCTCTGTTGTTCAGAGAAAACTCTTCCTGGCCGCATTCCCTCATCCGCATCCCGATCACCAGCTCCTTACACTTTATCCTCCTCCTAATGTAACGCAAGAGCAAAAGACCTAGAGTCCTTGCTCAATCCACTGCTGGATGAATTGTCCTCCCCATACCGTTTCGGTCGTTCGGGCTATTTGACCATACTTCACCACGATGGTCGGTGCGAGTTGGGGCAGGGGGGCAGCGGGGGGTGTAGTAGGACCGGTTCCGATTCATCACTCACCACTGATATCAGCCGCGGCCGGAGCTTTAAAGGCAGGTCGCTTGGTTCGTAGCGCAGTGAGCTAACCACTGCACCACCGCTCCCTGCCTCAAAAAGCCCCAGCGTTAAACAAACGTTCCCCCGTGCCTGTCATTGACCTTTGGTAGGGGCTGCCCTGTCAGAGCCTATCTCAGATGGCCGATACGCGTATCTGCCAAGCTTATTCTGCAAATACCAACAACGGTTTTTTTTATAAATAAATCAATAAAACATCTACTGATCTTGCTGCAACAAAAAAATAAAACGTATTCATCACACGATGCGTACACGCCATTCGTTGTTACGATGTTACGATTATCGCGATAATGAATCCCCACACATTTGTAACGATGTTTCACAACGCAACGTCGCAACGTCGTAGCATCGTGATGTTGCGTCGTTGTGCTTTGATTGCGATCGAGGGTGCACTTTAAAGTTCTTCAAACTGCGGTTCGCTCAAACGTAAACCTGCCGCGGGTCTTATAACCACTGCATTTGATGTCGCGTATGACGCACCAGAAAGTCATTCAATAATGAAATGAACTATGAAGGTGGTGAACGCCATATCACCACCTTGTTGATGATTACTCCGGAAAACAGATGGCTTCAACTCTAATCATTTTTCATGGAAAATAAGCTGTTGATTTAGTTACAACTTTCATTTATTGAGGTTGTTGATTTCGTACTTTGTGCGAGTAGAAATATAATATTTCAAAAAGCAATCAATAAGTATCGATAATCACGATACGATTATGAGATAAACAGACGGTAATCGTGGCTCTTATGCATCGCCAATCTTACACCGTACAAACACATCGAAGTCCAGTATCGCCATACTGTAGCAACCCGAAGTTTATACATTAAGGGCCCTAGCCATGTTCCGGTGGGGGAAAAAAAAAACAGCGTTGCGTCGACTTTCCCCGTCACCGACAATGGGATACATTGCCAGAGCAAAAAAAAACACACGTTTCAGACACTGACTCAGTGTGTCCGACTGACACAGTGTGTCCAATTAGATTTCCCAGGACGTTGCCTTTAAATCGAGGACGATCCTGGCTCAAAACCAGGACGGGTGGCAGCCGTGATGCGGAGGCCTTCGTCCAGCAGTGGATTTTGACAAAGGACCGTACAGTTACTACATCACATAGCAACAATTTGGAAAGTCAAACGAAAGTAAATACGAGTTGGCATACGGTACCTTGTCAGTGATAGCTCTTGGAGCCAGGAAGGAGTGAGGATCTGCGCAGACTCGCAGCAGAAGACTGTGTCTGTGTGTTTGTACGAAAGAGGATCAACTGCAGAAAGCCGTTAATTTATATATTTTTTTCTCTCTCTGCTTGCACGGGGGGGGGGGTAAATATTTGTCTCGGACACGGCAAATATTTGCACGAGAGGGAGAATCGCCACCCTGGCACTTCCCTCGTCGGAGCCTCCCGAGACTTCAAACCCGAACCCCTGTCAAAGTGGTTCCGATGGTGTGCGCACGAGGTCAATGCAACCCCAAGGAGAAAGCTTTAGGAGCCTCAGGGAGCTCAAGAAGTCGTGGAATTACGAGAGAAAAATAATGGGTGTGCGTCAAATATCAGCTCAAATGCTTAATTTGAGACAGAGAGAGAAAAAAAAATCCAATCCAGTTGTGGGATTTTATGTGATGGGGTTTTTTTGTTGTGTGCATTAAATTTATGGCTGGGCAGAGACCTTGAATTCGCTACAACCGAGAAAGAAATTATATTTTGGGCGGTGAAACCCAGAATTAACAAACCTGGCCTGCATAGTGGTCACTCGTCCAAGCACGCTTGGATCCACCCTCAACCCCTGCTCGGATTCTGAGTTGAAACCAAACAACCCGGAATGCCTCCAATTAATACGGAGGCTTTAAATATTTCCTCAAGCGAGGCTCGCCTGAGTGATGATGTGGCACCACCGTAACGCGTCAAGTCGCCGGGCAGATCCACTCGTCACGGCTGCGCTAAGATGTGGCCTGAGTATTTGGCATGAAGGTGACAATGACATTTTTTGTTTCTCAGACCGCGAGGATTTCTTTTTTTCTCTCTCTCTCTCTCCTTCCTGAAGGGCACTGATCCCAGAGTTGCAGCAGCGTTCAGAAAGGTCCGCCTTTTACAAATGCAACTTTTGTGAGTGCACATGTGCATGTACAGCCCGTCCATCGATCCACTGCTAGATCGAGGCTACTCCACGCGGCGTGGGTCGTGATGATTCTTTGACCGCATTGGCAGTTTTATTATTCTCGCTGAGACGCCGTTGTTCGTTATACAGGGACTCATCTACTTACGAACGAGTTAGGTTCCAGAGGTACTGTTCGTAAGTCGATTCTGCAGATGTAGATGCCACTGATTCTTCATGGTCTGCAGATGAAGATGCCACTGATTCTTCATGGTCTGCAGATATAGATGGCACTGGTTCTTCAAATTCTGCAGATGAAGATGCCACTGGTTCTTCATGCTCTGCAGATGTAGATGGCACTGGTTATTCAAGTTCTGCAGATGAAGATGCCAATGGTTCTTCATGGTCTGCAGATGTAGATGGCACTGCTTCTTCACGTTCTGCAGATGTAGATGCCACTGGTTCTTCACGTTCTGCAGATGTAGATGCCACTGGTTATTCACGTTCTACAGATTTAGATGCCACTGGTTCTTCACGTTCTGCAGATGTAGATGTCACTGGTTCTTCACGTTCTGCAGATATAGATGCCACTGGTTCTTCACGTTCTGCAGATGTAGATGCCACTGGTTCTTCACGTTCTGCAGATGTAGATGCCACTGCTTCTTCACGTTCTGCAGATGTAGATGCCACTGGTTCTTCACGTTCTGTGGCTGTAGATACCACTGGTTCTTCACGTTCTGCAGATGTATATGCCACTGGTTCTTCACGTTCTGCAGATGGAGATGCCACCACCGCCATCAATTGCGCGGCGGTTGGACTTATGACTCTCGGTCTGAACAGGTAACTGGGCATACGGACAGGTCTGTTCGTATATCTGAAAATTCGTAAGTCGAGTGTTCGTAAGTAGAGGAGTCCCTGTATCCCTCATCCATCGTCTTCGTTTCCATCTGCCAGATTATTACTTGGATGTCAATTTAAATTGAATAACCCAAACCAAACAGCTCATTTATGAAGTTCATCGAATAAAGCCTCAACGCATATGTTCATAACACTGACCCTACAAGAAAAAAACCTATAACAGGCAACCCTTTGCACAATAACTCTTTATCATAGAGAGATCAAGGGCCGTTGCCCGAAACGTCGCCTGTTAAGAATCCTGCTGAGTGTGGGTTCTCTATGCGTGTGTATCACTGCAAAAGCAGTGTCGCTCTTTCATTTCTGTAAGACAAATTAGGACTCCATCAATGTTTTTTAAGTCTGAAGATTAATTGCATTTATATTTTTCCCGACATTTAATTTATTGCCAAATGCTATGGATAACTTTTAAAACAAAAAGGTAACTTGAAATACTTTTTTTCTCTTTTTTTTAATACTTAATGTTTTCAATTAAAAGTTGAAGGTTTACTTTCTTATGTGCACGCTTTCCTACTCCGGAATGTAAATTGCCTTGGCACGACTCGTGCAAAGGAGCTACAGAGGATGCATTGTTTTCACGTGGCAAAGCGTGGTTTGCTCACACCTTTTCCAAGACGTCTATCCGGCCTGAATGAGTCGACCAAATACACTCTGGAAGGGTCTCCAGAGCTCCCGTTAGCAGAGTCTCTTTCGGCAGCAGTGGGGTGAGCGTGCAAGTCAAAGGTCGCGCTCGTTACACACAAAAGTGCTCGCCACAAATGAACCACAAGACCGCGCTGATCTCGTCAAGAAGCATCAATGATCACGCGAACTCCGACCGTCCTCGCAGCAGCGGCTATTGGCTGCTGGCCATCGAACAAAAGACGGTGGTCATCGCATCGCGCGCTTTCAGATGCGCTTCTGCGGGCCGTCTGGAACGCTCTTCCCTTCCGATATTAGGAAGCCACCGCAGCTATGCACTTTTAAATCTGGATTTAAAACTAGTTTCTTTAGTACTGCTTTATTGTGTTTGGTTTGTTGTCCTTCCCCGCACCTGCGATTAGCACGGTTGGCTGCGTACGGTGCGAAAGAAGTTCAACATGCATAAAATTGCAGGGGTGCACGTGTTCTTCACGTTCCTATCGCTGTTTGTCCATACGAGTCCTCTGTTGGACCACTCACCTCATGAGGATACCACCTTCTCATATCAACTGCGGTAGCCCTTTGGAGGGACTGGTCGGCCAACATATACCACAACCTCTGTGGGCGGCACTCCAGCGCCCATCCCGATGATTATGATCATTTATTAGTTTTCTAGAGCGGAATTCATGCAGATTGCATCTCACAACGTTTAACAATTGATAACGCACGGATATGGTTTTAGACAATAAGTGTTTGTACATTTTCGAAGAAAACCAGAGCACCCGGAGAAAACCCACACCTTGCGAGGGTGGGTAACAACTCTATCCCATTACAGATGGAACAGATGAAGATAATTGCACACTTGCTGTACCACCATCTACTGGCAAGCCAGGGTATGGCACCTCCTCGGCGCCCAGCGAGAAGAGAGTTTCGCGAAATTGCGTGTGAACCACCAACCCTCGCCACCACAGTTTGCTGGATTAAGGCCCTGTGCATTGACACCACCGCCCTGCAATAGTCGCCTCAGTGGCAGGGGCGGAGCCAGGATTTTGACTTCAATATTCTGAGATATCCAGTGTTTATGTTTTCCAATGGGCGCCACAAATGTATAAAACACATTTTATTGGATTTGAACGCGGAGTTTATTAACAGGTCGGAGCCGCTGATGTGGCTAATAAGTTCGCTAAGTTTGAAAGGCTGCCGCTCAAGCAGCCTGCAGGGCAGCACAAGGTGGCAGCACAAGGTGGCAGCCTGCAGGGCAGCACAAGGTGGCAGCACAAGGTGGCAGCCTGCAGGGCAGCACACAAGGTGGCAGCCTGCAGGGCAGCACACAAGGTGGCAGCACGAGGTGGCAGCCTGCAGGGCAGCACAAGGTGGCAGCCTGCAGCATTTTGCAGCAGCCGGATATCCGGTTATCACGATTACCGACTTTCCCAAAATT